CAGCCATTCACACACATGCCCGGGCTTCCATCCACCGATATCCTCCAAGCTTCCGCAGCTGGTTTCAGGAGGCTAACGTCCACTGTCTTCATCCGCCAACCTCTGCCAGCCTCTGCCAACTTTCCCCTGGTCCATCACCAATATCAACCAGCTTCAAGCCACAGATCTCCGCCAGCCTCAAGCTGTTAACTCACAAGCCCACTTAGCAAGTTCATCTGCTTTTGCAAGAGAAGTTGCCTTGGGCAGAAGGACTGGGTCCCCTGCAACCCCTGCCACTTTCTCTGCTAGACTGCCCTCTGGCCACTGGCCTCACTTCTGGTCTCCTGCCCTACCCAGCAAGCCCCTTTTATCTGCCAGCAGAGAGGTGGGGCTCTGTGAGGTCACAAAGACCCAGGAGAATGGGCTTGGGTTCCCAAGGTGACAGCAGCACCCTCTGGATTGGCTGAGTCCTGAGGATGATGTCAACAATCCCTCTGATCATGTGATTCATCCACAAAAGCTTGCATTTTGCATGATTTTTGTGGCCTGTAAATGTATCCCCTGTAACCTCTGATTGTTAAATCTCCCCATGTTGGCCTTTTGACAGGATTCTAGGCTGGTGCTCCAAAAAGTTATCTTCCAGCATTTGTACCAAAAGGAACTTTCCTAAGCTCTGAGCTAGAGGGAAAAAATGAAAGTAATAAATGAATAAGGATGAGCACAGTCACACAATGAAGCCTTTGACCCTTTGGCCTCTTTTTGGACATTTTTTTTTCTTGCCCTTGCCATGAAAAAGATATTATAAGGAGCCTGTTAAGAAAACAACCTAGGTTTTTGAAACACATACAAGTATTTTAACACCATCCCTGCACTATCAAAGATGCAGCTGTGTTTCAAAGATTCTCCCAGCCTTTGGAACTCCCTCCCACTGGAAGGCGGATTTGCCCCACCAGTAAGTAAGTATTTGTTAATACTGCCCATGGGGGGGGGGGAACAAGCATTTAACCATTGCAGTGCAGGAACGGCTGCTTTTTCTAAACTAAAACCTCAGCATTCAGGTTTATTTGAAGTATCGGCACTTTGAAATAAATAAGTTGATTTTCTATTGCAGTTTGGGCACTCTGGCTCAAAAAGGTTCACCATCACTGATCTAAGCCAAGAGAAGGGAAAGGGTGGCTCTCCAGATATTGATGGACTGCAGCTCCCATCAGGCCAGCCCACCAAGGCTAGCTACATTTGTATCAGCTTGCCATGGCCTTTAAATGCAAACAAGCTGTGCTTAGTCCAGCTGTGTGTAGGAGAAACAAGGCTTCCTTAGGCTATGATGTTGAAGCTGGTTTGTTTTTAACTATAGTTCAGATTTTAGGATTCCAGTTATGTAGCAAACTATTATAAATCTCAAATGGAATCAGAAGCAACCCTGAAGGAAGGCTAGCCTTATTTTTCTAATACTAAACCATAGGGATACTGTTATATCTGATTGCATTTATAAATACTGTACTGTATATTTCCTATGCTGCACTATAGTTCTATGACATGTTCCTGATACATAGTGCCTCACATTCTTATAAAATACAGTGGTGCCCCGCTAGACGCTTACCTCGCATGACGTCAAAATTGCTTAACTGCAAAACGGTTCCAATGGGTTTTTTTCGCATTATGTTGATATTTAGCTGACAATGTTGGTAATAGCAGATACCTGTACAGGGAAACAAAGCTATCAATACTTCTTTTTCCTGTCCCTAACAGTGCAATCTGATGAATATTTTATCAGAAGGAAGTTCCACAGTGTTTAACATGGAGTTTGCTCCCTTTTATGTCTTTTCAGAACCATAGATTCACCCCATGATGCTTTAAAACCGTTATCTGAGAACACACGAACCACTGAGATCAATGGGCTGTACAGTACTGTACATTTGAAAAGTCCAAAGCTGGTTCATGGCTCCTTATATAGTAATCCAATAAAGGTATCGTCTAGCCTCAGTCTTAGTTGCTACAACTGCATCGCATGGTCCGGGTTTTTTTTTATTTTTCTGTTTACAGTCTTGGAATTTAAATGATTGCAGGCGTTTCACTTAATTTTTTAGAAACCGAGCACACGATCCAGCCAAACGCTCTAGCCCTAAACAGGCGCGCTGGTAAATTAGCCTCACTGAATTCTCTGAGGGTTTGATCTCGATTAAAAGTGTGTGTCGGGGGGGGGGAGGAGGAACAGCTTTAAGCTAAAATTAAGCATCTTCATTGGTTGTTTTCCATCAAGGTCAGACTGGGATGTTTCCAAGGGTACAAAGTGCACCTTGGTAAAACACACCGTTCACTGGCCGTCGTCGTTTACTTCCAGACCCTCCCGCTGGCACGGGTGAAGAGAGGCGCGCCTCCCACGGCGGGGCCCAGGAAAAAAACCTCGGCGCCCGGAGCGACGCGATTTCTTGGTCCGGCCCCCTCGCTGTATTAAGCCAAGCGCAGCGCAAGCGGGTTCCACTTCCTTGCTAGCTCCGAAAATGGCTGCTGCTGGAGCGCTGCGAAGGTTACTGAAACCCTCGGTAAGTGCGGGCTCCGGAGGACCCGCTGCTGGGAAGGTGAAGGGCACCAAGGCGACGGAGGGCGTTGATAGACTTTTTTTTTTTTTTTTTTTTTTTTTTTGCTTGCATGCTGTTTTGTCGAGATCTGCAGCGGCTGGACTTTGCCCGTGTCCGAGCAAAGGCCTGATCCACGCCTCCCTCTCTGCCTTTTTCTCTTCTGCAGCGGGGACAAGATCTTTTAAAAATGCACGAGAGGGGGCCACGGTTGGCCTTACCCTTTAGTTACAAGAAATGTCCCTCCCTCCTGGTCGGAAGGATCATCTATTTGTTTTTAATTCGGGCGCCTGAACTTGTCTGTAAAATGGGCTCATTCTATAGCCTCGTCCCAATCTCCAAGCCTCTTTGGACAGAGGCCGGTGAAAAGTAACTCCAGTAACGGATTCCTCCTACGTCGCTTTTCCCCCGTCCTGATCCCTGGGTAGGCACTTTCACACACACCCCGGACGCTCGCGTGGAGCAGTCCGGATTTTATCAAACCTGGGAATCTTCTTCGCACATTGTTCATGGTTGCACGCCTTGGGAGCGTGCTCTCCTTTTTTTGCTCCTATATTTTGTACAACTCTTTGTTAGGCTTTTTTTTAAAAGCCAGATCTCTCTGCCAAGGGCGGGTTCCAATGCAATTTTCCTCTTTTTTCTGGTGTCTGTAGCCTGTTTTTCTTTTCTTTTTCAGGCTACTTGGACGGCCGCTTTCTCTTGGAAGGCGTGTGGGGCTGCCGGAAGGCATTTTGCGGCGCCTGCAGGCGGGCGGAAGTGTGTTGCGGGCGCGACTCCACCGTTTTCTCGGCTCCATTTCAGTACTAGTAAGTGCCTAGTCAAAAAAGTAGGGGTGTGCAGATTTGTGGTTTTGGACGACAACTCCCAGGATTGCCCGGGCTGCATTCTGGGAGTTTACAGCCCCAAAACACAAATCTGCACACCGCTTACAAATGAGTCAGTCTTACTGTAGTCACTTACAGACATGGGAGAAGTTCCTTTTTGGACTACTGCTCTCAAAATCTTGTGACCACTGGCAATATCTGGTTGCTAGGTACGTATTTGGAGAATTGTTACCCAGAACAAGAAGCTTTCCTTCTGTTTAGTCATACATCATGGTCCCCTGTTGTTTCATGAATGGTAGGGTTGCCAGATACATGTGTACGAAAAGGAGGACATAGAGAGCCAAAAAGGAGGACATATTTTGGGGGGGCTCTGTGCACGGGGTGGGGTGGGGGACATGTCACTTTTGGAATTAGGTATTGGGGAGAATAGCTCTTTGATCATGGGGCAATACCATAACCACTCAACCTACTCAGTCTTGAAAGGTCAAAACTGGGAAAGTTACATTTTTTGGACTACAAAACTCAGAATCCACTGGCCACTGTGTTTTTGTGTTTTTAAAAAAGTTTAAAAACAAAAACAAAACAAATTACATATACACTTACTGGGCTCCCAGGACCAATGGAGACAACCTATTCCTTCCTTTAATGGAGACCCATCCCCCTTGTTTTATTTATTGCTTTATTTTAATAAAAGCATAATAAAGTGAAATAAAAAGTTTAAAAAGTTGTGTGACAGATTTGAAACACTTTATTAAAACCAGAAAAAAAACAGAGTGTGGATTTCTCTCAGCTTGAGAAATGCAAAGGGTGGAGAAAATGGATTTGCAGACAGATAGACACAAAGCCATTTTCTCCACCCTTTGCAATTTCTCAAGCTGAGAGAAATCCGCGTGTGTGTGTGTATGTGTGTGTTCCAGCTCCCACAAGCATAGGGGATAACTCTACATATGCTCCTGGACCTGGAAACACACTCTGCACATGCCCCAAGGTTGGGGGGGGGTTAGGGCAGAAGAGGGGGGATAAAAGTGCCTCCTGTTCCCCAGCTTTAGGAGGAAGGAGGGACCAGACTGGCCCCTATTTTCCTGGCTTTGAATCGCCACCCCCTCCAAACCCCAGACCAGCTTCCCCTCCAACAGGCAAGCAAGTGCACTCACTTCACTCCTGTCCAGGTTTCCATCCATCT